ATAGGAGATTAGAAAGCAGTGTATTCAAGAGTCCAAAATATTATACGCTTGTGCCGCAAGATAATCAGTATTAGAACCGCGCCTAAGTAATCCTTCCTAATCGAAAACGCATTTCAGAATTTCAGCCAACATTTCATCAGATCGACCACTCACTCTAATAATATGTTGTATTTGTTACTGTTTCGAATCATTTAGTTGTGTGGCATTCTCATTATCTGCTGAGAGTTATATTGGGGCTTAAAAAATTGGTCAGTAATAATGTCTTTTCTTTTACTTGGTAGTTTTTCGGGAAATAAATTATTTCCTAGTCAATAAAAAATATTACATAAACCAAACAGTGCCTTGTTTTGAAGCTCGGCCGAATACTAAGCGCAATATAGCTTTTATGGGTGCGGGGTGGACGGTTCGTTCGTTACGAGGATTTCAGTTCACAGTTTGTAACCTTTCATGAGATAGACCAAGAAATGTATAGTTATGGTAATTATTCATTTCAAAACGAATACATTCATCACGATAGCAGGAAACCTGTTAAAATGCGGCTCGGTTTCTCAGTCAGGAGTGACTCTGTGGACCAAATATAATTACTGGTTGTTAACTTGTGGCAGAATGGGTGACACTTTTAAGAGAACCAACGTATTTTTTGAAGCCGAATACGAAGTAAAATACAGTAAATGGACTAACTCATGAAATCACAACAGAAATTCCGAAATGCGTTTTCGTTTCGAAAAGATTAATTAGGTAGGGTTGTAAAACCACTCATCATGCAGCATAATTCTATAATAATTCAGTTACCTCAGGACGCTGACTGTCGAACATTTTGGCTGCATCCAAAAACCATGCTCTGTAAAAAATGGCTACTTAAGTAGTATGCAGTTTTTCAGTGATTTGCGATGGTCTTAAAGATTCAATTATATTTCATGGAAAACATACATAAAATATTCCTTCTTTTTCTCATTTAGTAGAGAATAACGTTTTCCTTTAATTTTACACTCAAAGGAGGCGTATTGTTTGGTTTTATAAAACTTTTCCAATTCCCGAATAATTTTGAACACAACCTGCCGTTACACTTGCATTCAGGGCTCCCAAAGACCAAGCCGTATAATTTCCGCGTATGGAAAACCGTACATTTCTCTACGGTAAAAAAGGGGGACCATATAGGGTTCATAAAATTCAGCAATGGATTTGAGCCAAATTGTTAACTTTACAGGCCACATTGGTAAATGCAGAGATATGGCGGTCATGGTATTAAAAAATCCCACAATTAGAAACTTTTTAAAACTGAATTATACCCTTCCTTCGAGTGTAAAATTGAAAGAAAACGTAGTTTTCTACTGGATGAGCAAAACAGTGGATATTTGTATGCAGGTTTTCAATGAAATATAATTGAATTTTTAAGGTCCTCGAAAATCAATGAAAAATGCATACTACTTAAGTATCCGTGTTCTACGGACTTTGGTTTTTGGAAGCAGCCGGCGTCCTGGCGTAACTAAATTATTATAGAATTATGCTGCTCGATGATTGGTTTTACAACACTACTTAATAAATCTTTTCTAAACGGAAACGGATTTCGAAATTTCTGTTGAGATTTCATGACTTAGCCCACCTACTGTATCTAATTTCTCACTATTCGAAATCTTACCTATGAAAAATCCGAAACATTTTGCACCCGAAGAAAAGAAATCCGAAGGAGGGAGCGAGACTCTCTGCAATGCATAGTCACTACCGTCCGAATAGCAAGGGTTAAAACCTACAGGGTGTTCCGGTAAATTTAGCTTGGCAGGTTGCCAAATGGCGGGATAACTGGGTACTTTAATAACGCAACCCGTCTACAGTGAAGCGTTCTTTACGCAGGTGCAGTCACCATCTTGACGGATATGTTTATAGGAGAGAATGGGATCTTTCCGTTGGTGCCTATTCACTTGCTCACTTTATGGCACGGGTAGGCGAAACCCACCGCTGGGTAACCGACTAAACACAAAATTCATTTAAGGAGTTCAGGCAAAGTTTTGCCACCGGAAGGCGATTGGCGTGGATAGCAATGGAAGGCAAGCTTTCTGCTGCGCGCGTCTCCTCATAGAATGCAATGCAGGCACAAACGCTCCCTGTTTATCTCCGCCGGTCACAGTGACGCCTGTCGATCGAACAAACTAACAACGCCTCGATCTTGCGTTGTAAGCAGGCGGGCTTCACTGAGAAGTGATCCGAGAGTAAGTAGAACGCTTAATATCAATTCGCCATGCCAATGTTTTCCTCTCGACAAGATTAAGTTCATCACACTGGCTGCGGAATAAAAAAGTGGCATCAGGTTTCCCTAATGGACATCATGAGAGAAAAGAGCCCCAAAATTTCTGATTTACACTGGGGCAGACGTGAGGTAATGAGTCACATCGGTCAGAGATCATGCCACGCATTGTTCCGACAGCGAAAGAGCGGGCACAACTTTTTAAACACAGGCCAGAATATACGACGGTAAAAAGGTTCGCGGTCCCGAGAATGAAGACGAAGTGACTGGAAAATGTCCAAAAATTACCGTACTTTCCAAACCGGTTGGTCTGCATTTCCACGTCGAAGCCTGTGCTGCGTGGAAGATGAGACTGAACTCAAAATCACTTTTGCGGTTGGTTGCCCTTGCTTCGGGCACGCTGCTTTGGTCGAGTACTGACACGTGACCAACCGGTGCGTGGGAGGATAGGGCTTCCCCATCGAATAAATCAGTTTTCGAGTCCTCTGGTAGAATTCCGCGCTGTTCTTGTCTAACTCACCACGGAAAATTTCCGCCATTCTCCACGACGGTTTACTTTCCAGGATTAGATGATGTGGCTCTGCTCTCTAACGTGCTAGTGGGCAGCGAATTGGGGTCCGGGCTCCGTGTAAGACGCGGTGTCCTGATAGGGCACCTGCGACTTTCGCTCGCTTTTTCTAATATCGTTGAGGTCACCTTCATTGGAACAGACAATCCCCGAGGTTTCAGCAGGTGGCAACTGGCAACACGGTTGCATAACACGCGAAGAAGTGGTGATGTAGAGTCGTTTGGGATTTCGAGGTACAGCAAGAATGCTTGGGACCTAACAAGATCAAAGTCGCACGTCCATCCTTCGATTCAAGACCAGACTTCGGATAAGAGAGAGTGAGGTTGGCTTGAAGACCATGCATGCATATTACATTTTAGACAGCGGACATGTTTCAACCGAGGATCACATTCGACAAAGCAATGTGTACCTGAGTCCATATTCGCGAAAAATCACGAAACTCTCGAAAACGGATTTCCGGGTAGATGAAGTATGAACAGGAGAGGCAAAAATGCGAGAAACAGTCGAGAAGAGAAAATTGGAGACAAGTAGAACGACCTGGAAGCGAAATAGTTCACAACAACCTTGTGGATGGTTAAGATCCAACAGAGGCCGAAGAAAAGAGCGAGGACTGGCATGGGGGCGAGATCGTTTCCCACACCCATAGAAAATTAAGGAGACGGGGTAGCCTGTTCTGTTCTAGCTTATCAAAATATAGTTTAGAGCATCAAATACGTGGTTTTCCCATAGCAGCTGAGGGCAGTTCAGTCAAGTGAGTATAACGTTCTAGATGACTGTAACGACTGTGATTTGCAGTCAAAATAACCCAGAAATGTCTGTAAAGAATCATAAGCAAACAAAGTCCCGAGACACTAGCTGGAGGGAAACGATCCCTGCGCTACCGTCAGCTGGGAACGTCAACAGGATTGCCAGAGCAAATAACTGGACCCTCATCGTGCCAAATGGGGACAGATCGCAAAGGTAAGCATCAAGAACCACCTCTGTCGAGGTAGTAGGACTATGTGTTAATATTAAAGAGCTAAAATTTGCAGATATGGTCGAAGAAAAGCTAAAAGTTGGCTTTTGTTTCTTGACCGCGGGGACCCAGTCGCTCTAAGCAGCTGGAATGAAGGCCAAAGAGTTGAACACACACACGGTTGTGCGGCAGTAGGTGCACAACGAATTCGGAATTCTTGCATGCCATGGGCGAACGTTATTTGCAACGCGACACCTAACAGTGAGTATGTTGGGAGCGCCTACACTCCCAAAAACAAGAGCCAGCCAATCACTGGAGCCCACGTGCGTTTTCTCTTCAGCGCTGCCCTCTTAATCGTGGTGCCTCTCAATTGGCTTTCCCCTTGGGCCTGATCGATCCGCGTATTCGAATTATCGACCGGCTGGTCTCGAATGTTCTTCCCGAAGGGCATTGGGCCGAATGCCGGCGAACCACAGTAGGGCGTCATAAATATGCGTTACATCCACTTAATTTTGACTTGCAATTTCCTTATACACATTTTCGTGGCTGGTCGCGTTCTCCTTCTCTGCCGCGTCGGTATCGGGGACAAGGGTCGAGTGCGTATACGCTCCACGGGGTTTCAAGTACCAAGCAGGGTCATAACAGAGTACGAATGTATCCTGACTCCAGCTATATTCCTTTTTGGCTTTGATTGCGAAGATACTGGCGGAGCAGACATTGTGGCCAACGAGAGCACTGGTATCACATTTGCAATCGCAGTCGCTCTGCCCTCGGTTCTCAGCAAAAGTACTTGCAATAGACAAGTCCGCAACTGCAAAGGCTCCGTAGAACTTTAAAAAAAACACGAAAGAAACAGCCACAAAGACCAGAGTCGGGCCAACGTGCTTCGAATAACCTTCCGGAATACGCACACTCCGCGGACGAAAATGTAGGACCAGTAGACGAATCGGTGCTGATTTGTTCCGTGTACAACCCAGTGCAGTTCTCCGATGTCGACCGCCCAAAGCTCATCACCAATGACAAACGCAGGCAGCTAGAAGTAAATCTGAAATTCACGTTAAAAGGCTCTTTATTGCGGGCCAAAGGTGAATCAGAAGGCCGTTTTTCAATATGCACTAACAGGACGACAAAAACCCCAAGGGCACACTTAAAAGGAGGCGGGAAAATGCAAAACATTATTATACATAAAGTGGAAACAAGTAAAATTCGTCTGGAGACGGTGAGCAAGGACAGCATCAGCAGGCAAAAGTCAAGTCATTTGTATCACAAAAGTCTTTCAGCTGTTTCAAAAGGCGATCACCATGTGCCCTGAGGCTGGTCTCAGAGTTTTTATCTTGGCACATCGAACTGGTAACGCTGAGGGCATAGTCGGGACCATAGTTGATCAGTTGTGGATGGTCCGGAATGTCTTCGGGTAGCTCGTATCTAAAGAAAAACAAGACAATAGGAGAACGTGGCGAAAGCGGAGAGGGGACAGACAACACGGACAGTCAGGCACACTGGATACAAAGGCTCCGAATGCCGCAGAAAATGAAAGCACACCCAGATCTTAAGGAATAACAGTGAACTTCGTAGGTGGAATAAATGCAGCACAGACTGGAGACCTGCAGATCACAATCGAGGAACCCGGCACGGACAAGTCAACTACAGTAAGTGACCGATCTCATGAAAGGTTGGCTGAAATTCTGAAATGAGTTTTCGATTAGGAAGGATTACTTAGGCGCGGTTGCGAAACTGATTATCTAGCGGCATAATCCTATAATATTTTTTGGATTCGGCAGGATTTCAGCATTTGAAAACACTGCTTTTCCATCTCCCGTAGAAACCGTAGTAGGTGAAAATGACTACTTATTTAGCATGCATTTTCCCCGTTGATTTTCGACAGTCTTGCAAATTCAAATATATCTTATAGAAACCATGAACAAAAATATGCTTTCTTTTAGTCGTTTGATAGAGTATCGCATCTTCTTTATATTTTATACTCGAAGAAGGTGTATAATTAGGTTTTAAAAAGTTTTCTAGTTCCCGAATAATTTGGAGCCTGATCAGTCGTTGCATTAGCACTTGGTAATTTCAGTCTACAAGATGCATGCGTTCCGCGTAAAGAACATATATTTTTCTATCTCTTTAAAAAGATACCATATAGAGTCCATAAAATTTTGAGATGGATGAGGGCCATGTTCCACATTTCATGAGGAGATGTGGTAAACAGCCAGGTACGATGCTATGCGAATAGACACTGCGCAGCCTTAAAAATCTCATAATTAGAAACTTTAAAACCTAATTATACTCCTTTCTTAAGTATAAAATATAAAGAAGACGTGATCCTCTATTGATTGACTAAAGGAAAGCATATTTTGTTTATGGTTTCTATAAAATATATTTGAATTTCCAAGACCATCGAAAATCAATGGAAAAAATGCATGCTACTTAAGTAGTCATCTTTTACCGAGTACGATTTCCACAGGAGATTTAAAAGCAGTGTATTCAAAAGTTGATATCCTACCGGGCTCGAAATATTATAGGAATTTGCCGAAATATAATCAGTATTGCAACCGCGCCTAAGTAATCCTTACTAATCGAAAACTCATTTTAGAATTTCAGCCAACATTTCATGAAATCGGTCACTCACTGTATGTCATAGAGATAGCTTATAAAAGACGAGGTCGGTACCTGCGGTGGGTAAATTCTGCGGAACCTCCAACTGAGCTGCTGGCCGCTGAGAGGAGACGCAGAGAACAAGGGTGTACAGGACTAGCCCAGGAGAACGGGTAGGACCGCGTCATCAGTAGAGAAACAACAGTGAGACCTCCCCCCCTGTGGGCCTGCCTGGGGGAGTTGGTCCATTACACACGATGAAGGCAACCACCGGCTGGGAAGGCAACAATGACCTGTACAACGTCTAGCTCGCCTCCTCTTCTTGCGTTTCGATGAAATGACAAAGCCAAGACGACAATGCCGACTTTAAGAGAGACACCAAGATGCCCCATCCGGAGAAGGTGCAAGAAAGCAACCTGACCCTCAGCTCTGAAGACGACCGACCAAGCCCGTCGGCTGGCAGCTTTCCAGGCCTCGACGCCTAACTCGCCATGATAGCTTAGGAACGATTTGGATTTACTTCAGTAAGGGAACCACGAGGTGGACTAGTTTCACTCGCCTCTTCCTTTCGCATGATGCACTAACGGCAGGTGTAATGGGTGATGTTGCGTAAAACCCTTGTCCAGCAGGTTTCACAAGCATGCGCAGTCTGAGTTTAGGAAGGTCGCAATGTCACAGTCAACAGGATGGTTGCTAAAGGTCTTTCAGTAGGCTCAACATAACAGAACTGGTAGTTTTTTAGGTCAGCTCAAGTACAGACATGATAGATAAGATAGGTGGTCAATGTTGGTGATGATTTAATTCTCCAGAACCTCTTGATAGACCTGCGACTGTTAGCAGGAGTCACCGCTAACCAGGATTCACAGAACCAGACGAATACCACAGCGAACAACGGCATTTATCGTACTCGTAGCGGCTGGGCTGGAGGGATGTCTGCAAAGTGGAGAGTATGGACAGTAACGGATGTATGGGAGTACATTGGGAGGGAGGAGAGTGGCATACAGTGTCTCGCTGCACGTGGTGGTCTAACCCTACCTGGCATTCGGCTTTCATCCGTGTGTCCCCACAAAACGATGCTGAGCACTGCAGACACACCCCGACAATCGCCCCAAGTAATGAGTGAAGTCAAGTAAGGGGTGCCAGCATGTTTCATCAAAGCCAGTGTCGCGTTCGAGGGACAGACCCATGTAGGGGCAGCGGTAAGAAAACCAACACAAGTAATCGAGAACTCACATGCTTCCCCTGACGGCGGAAAGAGCTATGGAGGTGAGAAGGGCCCATAACCTGGCAGTGTCTGGAAAGTGGTAACCACCGCCACCAAGGATCAGGGTGGGCAAACCCCACGAAAGCACCTGACGCAGTGCGCAAGCATGAGCGCAGTTTTGCCCCACGGTCAGATTGAAGACGCGGTGAGGATCTGAGGCGAGTCCATCGGCGCCGCACTGGACGACAACGAAGGAGGGCTGCAGGGAGGCATGCAATGCACTGAGAATCGGTTTGACAGTCGAGAACCAGGTCCCATCACCTGTACCCTCAGCTAAAAAATAAGCGGGAGGAGTTTGAGTATAACCTAGAAAATACAGGCGGGAGCAAGCGGGAGAAGGGGGGGGGGTGCTCCAAACACCTACCTAGGGGCAAGTTGAAACAGGAAAATCGTCCACCCCGTGCGCCGACGAAGAATTCGGAGGAATCCGGCGCGGCGTCTCCTGTGCCTGGGAAGAAGCCAGGCGAGGCGTGATGCACGGAGAAAGTGACTACACGCGAGCTATAAGCAAAGGCCTCCTCCACTCCATCGCCATGATGCAGATCGAAGTCCAGGTAGATGACGCGTTTTCGTGAGTCCTGGAACGCGGCAGAAGAGAGGAGGTAGTTGAGACCGATGACAACATCGTTTAAGTAGCAGAAACCGGATGCTTCAGCTCGCTTTCCGTGATGCCAACCGCCAGCCCAGTTGATGGCTACCTGGAAATCATGCATAAATAAGGCATAATTATCAATTTCTGAGGGTTGACAGCGTAACTAATGAGATTAGGACTGAAACGTGGAGGACTTGGCACCTGACACTTGTGGCTAAGCAATGCATCTACGGCGGCGAGTGTAGCTCGTACGGCTGAAAGGGCGTAGTCGTAAACTCCCGAAAAGCCCTGGCAGTCGTAGGCAAGTCCATATTCTTCCAGTGAATCCATTACATCATCCGGTATGTCTGGATCAGCGTCATCCGCGTAGTAACCATCGAGTAAACGGAGCGACTCCAAGAAGTCATGGCTGAAAGGCGGAAAAAAGGAAAGTCATAACAAATTAGGAAACTGAGTCACCAGACACGCTTTGCTCAAGCTGAAAAATGACTGGAGTGCCGCTGATTGAATTGTGCTCCCAAACCAACTACTGACAGAAACTGGAGTTGGCGAGTTGGACCCTAGGGGCCCATCTTGCGACTTAATTGTCTACACTGTAAATTAGGCAGCAAACCATGGAAACTTCGTCTACACCGGATTTAGCCACGAGGACTACACTGTCCTGGGCCGACGTGACGCGTACCTGAAGCAAGCAAACCCATCTAAAATGGGGGAACCTCAAGACCTGCAGAGGATAGAATAAATATTCTAAAGACGCTACGCTTGTAGGGGCGGAAGACAGTTCCTGGTATCATTGTGGTAGATAGAGTTATTGAGAGCAACATAGTCTAAGGCCTGCGATAGAATGAAGGAAAACACGTCTCCCACAGTGCAAATACAAGCTATTTGGAAATAAAAAGAACATCTTCCAGCATGGTTAGGAAAGGGTCAAATAAAGAACATCAACAGCTCGATCCTCGCGCACATGGTAGACACAGATCACCGTGTAGACGCCGGAGAGGCCATCAGAGTGATTTACAAGGTCCTATCAAGCTATCCAAAACTACTTGGGCAGCGCTTGTTGGCCACGGCGGAGGCGGCTGCAGTCAGGCTACGCGGACTGGTCATATGTGCGCAGAAGAACTTTATACAGGTCCCACAGTTGCCACGGGTCAAAGCCACCGAGCCAGCCACACGCATGTAATTACCTTCGCCGGGGCCCACCTTTACCCTGACGCTGACTGGGATTGTAGTGTTTCACTCTCCCCCTCCCCTCCCCAAACCTGAGCTACAGCTTAATTATCTACTTGGTCGTATCTTTCAATGTATTACTTTAATATCCATATAAATTTACAGGTCTGAGGAGAATTTATCGAAAGCAGACGTATACTCGCTAAATGGCCTTTTGAATAGAAGGAACATTGGAAACGTGGCGTTTATTAATCGTTACCGGATTCTTACAAAAGAGTACGATTGTACTTCAAAGGAAAATCGCAGAGGAATTTACTTAAGTTTTAACAGCGCTACAAGTCCACGAACTGGTGACAAGTGGGAGGGGGTAGCATATCCGGGTGCACATAGGAGAGTGAGACAGAGGTGTGCGCCGGGGCTTTGGCCTTGCCTAAGACGCTTGAAAAGCAAGTCGTGTGCAAGTAGGCTGCCAAATAATGCCTGAGTGGGAAGGCAACTTCGTTGGACGAACAATTACATTAGTTTAAAGGACTAAAAGTATATCCCCAAGTTTTCGCGTATTTGAAAGGGCTCGCTACCTGAGTATGGCAGATGGGGGCCCCCTATTACGAGTTCTTGTTGCTGGACAAGAAATTGCTCCTTTCAACGCCGCCGGGTATCAGTGAGTCCCAACATAGGGCGCGCAGACCGTAGTCCGTCGGTTGTTCAAAAACCCCTGTGCGGTGGCTCAAGCAACAGCAGCTGCGTGGTAATTCCCGGATATTACAATAGACTACTCGCAAGCACCCTTCGGGCACAATGATTTAGAGTTCTAGGACTGAATAAGACGAAGTGGGGAACATTATCCATGTCTTAACATCGTTAAGGCTTCCCAGACAGGCTTGAGGGACACATGCTGCATGGTCTGTGATTGTTTATTCGTCAGCGCTGAGAGTTTGCAATAAGCTTCCTATAAGGACCATTCCACTATTCACTGTCTGTGGACGTAAGCAATAGCCCGTAGCTAGGCTAGATGGCAGGTTCTGTCCTCCTAGAGCTACCGCCGTCCCGTCGGGCATGGTGTCCGATGGAGGTCAACAGCTCATATGAATTTTTCCTGCGACCCGCTGTTTCAGATATGTAGCGTCATTTATTTTTCCCAATCTATACGACAACTCGGCAGGTCTTCGAGTGAACGGAAAATTGTTTCCCCAACCCTGTGATAAGCGTCTGATTGAAGATTATGGCGATGCCCGATCGACAAAGGAAGAGGTAGGGTGGTTAACCAAACGAGAGGCACTTAAGGGACACCGTGGACAAATAAGACCTACAACAGTAAACAACCGAGTAAAGTTCAGTGAAGACCCTGCGAAGCAGACAAACGTAGCAAGACCCTGGTAGGTTTATCAGGCCAACTGGCTCCAATTCTCGTACGTCACGATGCCAAAATTACTCACTTTTGTAACTAACAGAAGTGAAGGAAGAAAAATCGGAACGAGAGTACGAGAATGAAACAGCTTATAAGAAGTGCGGAACCAGAGGGAGGTGACAATTTCAAGAGAGTGGTTTTTGGTTTTAATACGCGTTGAGTGGACAGACACTGGTCAAATTCACTTAAATACCGTAAATGAACTTACACATTAGTGGAAACGCCTGAGGATGAAGCTGAGAGAAGAAACCCACCATGTGAAATCCTACCGGATGACGACAGCCTTCGCCTTGTCGTCAGATCACTTTGGCTTGCAAGGTTTCTACAGATAACTTATTTCCTAGGTAAGTGCCCGGATAAATCTGAAGGAAGAATGACTACACGGACCATGAATGCATATTCGTCAAACCGGAAGGCTTGCTCATGTCGCAGCGGGTATTCCGCAACCCATTGAAGCGCTGCGGAGCCCGTAGCTATGCTAACAAATATGTTTTCCAGAAGTTCCTGTCGTTTTGGAGCCTGATAACCAATGACTGACATGAGTTAAAAGGCACAGTGAGTCTGACAAAATAACTCAGTTTCATCAAAAAACCGCGAACATGCCTGTGGAAAGAAGATAGATATTTCATCTCCGCATCGGGCGTTAATTCGGCTGGAGGGATGCGTACCAACTGCTGGGTGATTTTGTATGCGTGAATGAGAGCCATCACAAGGGAGAACCTGTGGCCGTATTTCGGTGAGAGACAGGCTAATTCATTAAGACGGTTGGAATACACTATTCCAACTTTCGGCTCCATCAGGAGGTATCAAAAATATACACCAAAACGGAGCAGGAGCTTGAACTGAAGTATCGACCGAGCGTTCAGAAAGTTCTGAGGGCGTCAGCATATGAATTGGGCGAGAGAGCTATTCATGGTATGTGTTATGTGCTCTGAAAGTAAATAAGACATGTAAAAATCTCAAACGTTCATCTTGAAAGAGAACGAATGGCGTTGGCAATTCAATAATAATGTAATATGAAGACTGCATCGACAAGAACTGGCACCCTACACGGTACCTCTTCATGCTGGTCAACTTATGGCAATCTCCAGAGGAGACTGGATGCTGAAGACAATAACCACGAAAAGGCGCAAGTTGTCCGCATGTTTGCAGGTGGCATATGACAGAGTAACTGCAGTGTCTGATGAATGAGCAGCCACAGGCCATTAACAGACGTGGTATATAGACGCCTTGCACAGAAGACGCTCTATAAGATTCCATGATGTCCTACGATAGGACTATGACATGTAACAAAGAACCGCCAGTTGCGTGCGGGAGGAGATGTACCAAGAGATTGAGCTGAATATACAAGGAACTCCACAACCCGCCGACTGCGACTCGTGTTATGAAATCTGTGAACACGGGGTCTGGCCGGGGAAATCGCAACAGGTTCTTAAGCAGGACTGTTACACATATATTAAGCGAGCGGCGATAGCAGAAGGCTATATCGGATAGTTAAGAAAGGCTAGTTCAGCTAGCAGAACAACGATAAAAAAAAATTCCTCTAAGACAGCGAACAATTTCTTGAGGTTTGCGGTTGGAAATTCTCGTTTGGCTACGATAGCCGGCAAGGTTCTTGGACTAGTAAAGAGCTTTGGCCACACTAGACTAAGGTTGCACGTTGCCTTCGGTCGATCCTGTCATCAATTCCGAATTTTAAATATGATGAGTTAAAGGGTGAAACGAGTATACGCAGTTCCAAATAAGAAGCTTCACAGACACGGATGTAAGATATAACCGATGCTTTTAGAAAACACAGCTGTGTAAAACTATTTGATCAACAGTGATTCCGCCTTATACCAAGAATTAGTTACTAACTCTAAAATAGTGCTCGAGAACGCAGTCAGCTAACTGTGCACTCTGACCGTGGACGCAGACAGTTTGCACATACTCCTGTGCATGACTGGCACCCTATTCGTCCTAAAAGAACGGAGTGCTAAAAGTAAGAAAAGATCCTTCCCTTTTTCCGAAAATAGGACAAAATGAAGCCGTAGTTTGGGAGAAAGCTCAAAACGTCTGAAAATGACAAGGGACCACAACCACTTAGAAAACATATCTTTCCCCGCATTTCCGTGCAGGATAGCCGGTTACTAGCTTCACATTGGGATTAAATGACCTTGAAGTGGCGTGAGTTAATCAACAGAGCTGAGCAGTTGGTAAAGCTTCCACTTTCAATTCTACTGGCGACTTTCAACCAATAAGCACAATTATAGCAGATCAGGTGAACGTTTAACCGACGATCAAGGATAAGATTCGATGTTTTGGGGCATATAATAGCCTGCGGAACCTATGGCGTGTATCCACCACCTACAATCCCGAGACTACGGTTTTCTCAATTGCAAAGTCTACTTAGGTTTAAATACGAGAAGCTGAGAAGGTAGGCCACTCGTGGCTTCTTCTGGGGCTACTGACTTCCACAATTCTCCCGTCGGCTATCGTGCACAGTGAGGTAAGATATCAGCTGTCCTTGGCTTAACGGCAAACTCGACATATTTCACAGTGGCAAGATCTCCAGGTATAACGACAGCTGGACAGCTGTCTATCGATGTAAGGCAGCAGACGTTTTCTCACTAGGGTAGCACATAATACCTTCTCGTCCGACCTAAATGTGCTAGCCATAACCACAAACCGACCGCAAAGTAACGTTGACTGTTATGACGTATCTGACAAGGGATGCTAGATGTGGACGCATCCAGCTATCCGTCATAATTTTTCGGGGCATACACGACTTTCTTCAAAGTTCGCAGCTGGGGACTAGGATAGAATCGTTTTATTTGGTTAACTGTGTAATGTTACGTGAAATAACAGTAAATTTGCCCAGAATATTTTTGCAAAAGTAACCGTGCATCGCACCTTTAATTCGCTCTTTACCCTGACTGTGCTTGACGCGATAATCATGAGGTTTGCCTAAGTTTTCCCCTTGCACGCACACACACAAAGACAGCCAGATTTTTCCGAAAACAGTCGCTACTTTGAATGTGTTACACGGCGATATTAAATTTATACAGAACTACTGTTTGCTAAAGAGGAGCGTCGGTAACATTCTGAAATCTACAGCAGTTCCCACAACTTTTGGTCACTAAATTCAACGTGGTCCCCCCACTTGCATTCACAGGGACATTGGTCGTCTCTGACGCTTTGTGTTTCGCCAATGAAATCACAAATCAGGGACCAACAGATGTTAACCACTCACCTCTTTGTTTTACACAAACTTCCTTTACTCGCGGCCATCCCTCAAGCACCCTTATAACACGAGCTTTTTTTACGGTTCGCTCGGTCAACATTGCATATTTATTTCGACAATGTCTACGAATTGGCATTCATTACGATAATAATAAAGATGGAAAGTAGGAGATATGATTGCGAAGAACGGCACGCATGCCGTACGGCATGCAAATAATGTAGAAGTGGGTCTCAGTTATCAAAACAGACTGGATTCTCACGCAGGAATTAGTTAGTATTGGATTTCGTACAATTTTTCTAAGTTACTGCTTACGAAATCGGGTGCGATCCGTATGTATCTCCTATTGTGACTTTTGTGACTCCCAATCAGATTTATTGTGGCCCCCGCACTATCCCATGGACGCGGTTTTTCTGGCGCTGGTTCGGTGGCTACAGCCACGGCAAGTCTAACCGTATTTAGGGGATAGGCATGACACTACAATTCCAGGAATCGGATCAAATTTCTAGGGCGATTTTAGAATTTTAAATACCACACCAAATCAATGTTCCAGTGTCACTGGCAAAAACCTTCATTTTCCTAACTGGTAAAGAGCGGCATTTGGGTCACAGAAGATATAGCACGCGCTTATGAAGAGTTCCACCCCCACTCGATTTCCGAAAACATAAGAGCCATAAAAGAGAGTGATCTGTCTGCTAGACTTGTTGCAGATTGTGTTAAACTTCATTTGAAGACTCCCCATCTGGGGGCATTAGAACATTAATCACATAACCTACTCGGCGGATCAGTCGGCCAACTCCAGTTACGTCGTTCAAAAATGGCTTAGACGACAGAGAAGCAGGACAGAAAGCAATACCAGAAATGACTGCAAAATAAAAAGCTTAATGACAGAACGTCAAGCAGAATCAAAAAACTTTTCCTACGGGGAGTTAGAAGAAAATGATGTTTCATGAGTTGGAAAGTAGGGCAACAGTGTAGCCTCGAGTCCGCATAGAACAGAGGGATGAAATCTTCAATGCGAGCGTACAAATTAGACCAATACTCACAGACAGAACTAGAGAAGGATAAAGGCAGACGGATTTAAATAGGGATTTAATCTCCGAAAAATACAAACACCTTCAAGGTCAGATGCAAAATCTTAAAATTATCAAATTTTGTAGATGTGCAATCTGTAAATATCGCCCTTGCTCAACAGAAACGGAGCTTAATTGAAAATATTTGCATGGGTTATAACCCATATTTGTATGGGGATCACAGACTTCCAGTTGCAGTCCGTCCGAACAGCATAAATTCGGGAATTCGCAAACAGCAAAATGCAACAAAGGCTTTCGGGAAATATCACTCATATTATAAGAGAGAAGCTTACCGCTGGGACTGCTGGAGGAGTCCTACAAGGGTCCAAAATAATATACTATGCAGAGCGCGCTCACCAACATCTGGAAGCCTAATCTACCACACGTCTTCATGTGCGCTTTATGCAAAATTTGGGTTTCATACGATGATAAAAATTCCCTTATGGCGTTGCTTGTCTGGTCTAACAAAGTTTGCTATTTGCTGGGCCGTCGGAAATGGAAGTCACGTGATGAATTTTAAATGCGCCACCGACCCAATATAAGACGAAATTCAGCAACTTGTCTTTGAAGATTTACAGCGCTACGTGACATTAGCACGTACAGGAATTAGGCTCTTGAATATCGGTACCGAAGTTTTAAGGCGTACCAATTATGTACGTTTACACATTCAATGCTGGAATTTTGCAGGTACGCTTGTGAAAATGGAAAAGTTCCTGACGTCCATTGTAAGTCATCTAGCCAAATTTATTTTCTTTTGCATTACTAGCACTCCAATCAACTATGTCACGAGATACCGTGATAAGGAAGTACGGAGACAGCGTATTTACTGAGAAGTTCACTTTTTACTCGACATGCCACTATTTAAACAAACTTTTTGTATGAAAAATACCATTTTGTCTGGCCTAGCTTTTGCAGTTATCGCAAGGACTGTAACCCCTTCCTGTCACACCACTGGTAAGCGTACTCCCAACGCCCGATAGTCATCACCGCCGTGGTTACCACCGCTGCCACTAGCGATGCGAACTCAATTCCGCACTGTATTTATTTCGATCGCGCCTCAGCATCACCCATTGTTCATTTGCGAATTCATCCCACTGAGACCAGCTAATCAGTTCCTGAAGCCTCGAAATACGTCCGCCACACACGCTTTGCCTGCCCGCATGGCCCGCGCACACTCAGTTGCCTTATGGACCTACTCGATCGAACGCGCCCCCATGGTGGTCTGTGGTAAACAGACGCAAACCAAACCCCATTACAGCATTTGCCACAATCACATATACCAAACACTGACCCGTTCCACATCATCTACCGCAAGTACGGAGAAGACACTGGCCAGAAAAAAGGAAGCGTGATTCTTGATTCGTCTCCATGTGGTCTCTATGGTAACCTAACTCCGATTTCATCGTGCGGACCA